GGTCATTTGGGTCAGGGTCATGAAATGTTCAGGGTAGGTGTAAAATTGATCGATGCGAGGGTACTGAAAGTTTCGTCGCGATCGGCCGCCTTTTTACGCGAGTTATTCGCGAAAAACCTTAGGGGGGGGGGGTTGCATCAACCCCCGCCCCCTGTGCCGGCGAGGGTTAGGGGGGCTGCTAATTAGGCACCTTACCCTAATTAACGGCACACGGTTGACGGTGATAGGGGCTGGCCGCATCAACCCTGAGGTGTAGCTATAACACATCCAATGGCCCTGAACTGGCCATCATAGAATGAAACGTTCTAAGCCCACCCACAGATACGGGTAGATATTAGTCATGCATGCAAACCTTGTTGGAATTTGGAAGACTTACAACTTGCAGCAATGTTTTGTTTTTGCTTTCCGAGTTTCTTGATTATCTCAAAGCATTGATTAGAACAGTATGTCCTTAAACTGAGCTACCGTCTTCGAAGTTAATGCAAAAGCTTGCTGAATATGGTTTGACAGACGGGTGAGCTATAGCATCCGTTGAAACGTATTGGTTGACTAATTGATTTAATGCCGGCCTCAGGGAGTGGGACCATGTTCGCTTTTAGCCCCGATTAAACCCGGGAGTAAGCCCGATGATCCGGTCCCGGCAGGGGACATTTTTGCCATGCACTCGTCTAACTTCGTGCATAAAAATCACACCAAAAAGCAGTACCAAACAATGGCCCTAACAAGACGGTTTAGTACAACGTAAAACCTTTGAACTCAGGTCAAGTCACAAGGTCAGAGGCCAACGTCAAAGGAATGCCTGCATGTACTGAAGTGATAATAATTATGTAATGCGTTCCAGAGGTTAACAGGATGCATAAAATTTAACAAAACTGGTTGAAAAAAATACATTCTGTGGGTCGAAAGATATGTTCAAAGCTCCAGGTCAATGTCAAGTTCGTTAATGACGTTACCCCTCGCCGGCCGAGGGGGTGGGGCGGGTGCCGCTCCCCCCCCCCCCCATAGGTTTTTCTCGCGATAGCTCCGAACGCGCCGGCGATAGAGAGCTGAAACTTGGCATACCTGACCGTTGATTCAAGTTGGATCTTTTGACATCAACTATATTTTCGGGTCAGGTCAGGTCACTGACCTATGACATCATAAGTGAGCCTCTGCACGGTCTTCAGATGTCGCAACTTCGCAACGCCCTCACTGCCAGAGAATTTTTCAAAGGGAAATCAAAAATGCAGGACCAAGTATCCATTAGGAGTCTCACAACTTGTAAATCTCATATTTTTCCTAAAGGTCATATGAGGTCAGGTCATTTTCGTGCACGAAAATGAGTTCATGACCTCACCATTATAAGTCAATGTCGAAAATGAAAACTGCTATTCTGGCGCCGGGAACGATCTCCTACAATTTCAAGCACACAGAATCGTGATTTCATGTACTCCTTGTAAGGTTCGATGCGTCACTTATGCAATGTTTACCTTGCGTGACGTCATTTATGACGTCATTAGGGTCATATTAGTTTTTCGTCAATAACTCCCGATCAAATTGAGCTAGCGAGTCGAGAAAGCCACCAATGGACTCGAAAGACCTGCCGAATCGAATGATATGCGACATAACCTCCTTCGACTAATTTCGTGACCTGGGGGCTCTGACCTGACCGTGACCCAAGGTTAACACCCTAAGTTGACCTCACCCAAACAAAATGTATATCATTCGACGCGCCTGAGCGAGGCAAACACGATGCTGCCACAGTCGCGGCTCTGCGGCCGTTTTTTGCGAAGTAATTCACAAAAGCGGAACCGTACCTTGGGGCACTTGACCTGACCTCAGAGGTCACCGGTTGACCTAGGACCATAAAATCGGATATCACTCTCTGCATCTCGTAACGGCGCACACGCTCGTTTTTCCGCGACGCGCTAGCTCCACCAGGGGTGAAACGGCGAGGGTGGGTCTTAGTTGCCCCCCCCCCCTCGGTCGGCGCGTATGTATGTAGAAAACCAATAGGTCCGGCGAGGGTTAAACCACTGTGTCAGAAGTGGTATGATTATTGAAGTGCGTGAAATTATTCCACGCGGAAATAATTGTACGTGCAAATTTGTCTGGAGAATTTTGTGAATAAACGAGAGACTTTTGGGCGCTACTGGTGTTCGGTTGTATAAATTCCTTTACAAGCTATTTCGGCCTTATCTCAGTCTAGTTACGGTATTGTATAAATAAGGGAAAATTCGACAGGGAAGATAAAGAAAGCTAAAAATGGCGAAGAGGCGAGGCACGACAACGAACCAACGATCGATTCGATTTTGTCCAGTTTGGATACCGGTGCTGGAGTCCGGTGATGGTAACCGGCGATGGAGCCCGGTGATGGAGACCGCCGACCGGTGATGGAGCCCGGTGATGGATACCGGTGCTGGAGTCCGGTGGTGGTAACCGGCGATGAAGCCCGGTGATGGAGCCCGGTGGTGGAGCCCGGTGATGGAGACCGCGGTTATGGAGCCCGGTGATGGTGACTGGTCGTGGAGCCCGGTGCTGGAGACCGGTGCTGGAGGAGCCCGGTGATGGAGCCCGGTGATGGAGCCCGGTGCTGGAGACCGGTAATGAAGACCGGTGATGAAGACCGGTGCTGGAGACCGGCGGTGGTGCCCGGTGATGGTGCCCGGGTGGTGAGCGGCGATAGTGCTCCGGTTTGGTGACCGATAAGGTGCACGGTTTGGTTACCAATTATGGTGCCCGGTTTTGTGACCGACGATGGTGCCTAGCTTGGCCGCGGTTTTATGACCGATGATAACGTTTTTGATATTTTGTGTGTGTGCGTTTTAGTGATCTTGAAGATCAGAGGGGCGTGTGTCAGAAGTGGTATGATTATTGAAGTGCGTGAAATTATTCCACGCGGAAATAATTGTACGTGCAAATTTGTCTGGAGAATTTTGTGAATAAACGAGAGACTTTTGGGCGCTACTGGTGTTCGGTTGTATAAATTCCTTTACAACCACCTACACCTATAGGGTGGGACAGCATAATCGGGAATGCTTTTTGGACTCTGATCATGAGTATGCATGGCAGTATTTTGATAAATCATATCATGATAATGAAACGCCCAAATTTGTGCATCATCAGACATAACTACATCCATGGGCATGCAACCTCCTGGAAAAGAGCAGCGAAATAGCTCGGCGTTGCTCCAAGCGCTTCGCGCGCGCCCATAGACATTATGATAAACGAGTTAAACAAGATGAGTTTGCTTGAGTCCCCGCGAGAAGACCACTGGACAGGTCAACGTGCACTATCAAGAGCGATAAGGATAGCGTGGGAATACCTACTTAGGGCAGAAGTTTTACATAATCCTTGTAAAGAAGATAACTTTTAGGAGAGGACATACAGATGGCTCGCTTCAGTGTTGGGAGAAAGCTCCTGAGCACAATAAAGAGAAACATTGTTCGAAACTTAAGCGACCAAAAATCTCACCACCGACTGGAATAGGATAAAAACAGAATGGCAAGATATAATAAGGGATTGTATTGAAGATGTTCCAGCGCCCAGCGGTCATGCGAAGCAAGCATCATGGTGGGGTAATGGACCTAAGGTAAGGGTGGTCTTCAACGGAGGTAAGTACACGTGGTGCACCCTACTTCATGGACCGGACGCTCACCGGACCCGGGAACGTTTAACATAACACGAAAGGGCACCCAATATTTTTTATATTAATTTTCTTTCCCTTTATCAGCTCAGCTAGGACCATCAGTGGATTGTTTAACGAGCTACGTACAGCTGCTTTATACTATAAGCGGCGAATTGAAAAGCTGAGATAATGCAATCGATAACACTTCCCATTCTCCCAGCGATTTTCTACCAGCCTGCTGCCTCACAAGCGGAACGGGAGATTCTTATAAGGTGTGGGGGGGGGGGGGTGCAGCTAGAGAATTGATGCTCTGGAAGAGCCAGAACGGCGCTTGGAATGGTCAGTGAAGCAGCCTAGGAAAAAGTTTCGAATGCCATTTTTTGTCATATAAAAATGAATTCATTACAGTGGCGACTCTCGCAGTTTTTGGATCGTGGCAATAACTGCGCGGCGCAGCAGTGTCTCTGGTGAAAATGGCCGACCGGCGACCCATCTTCCTCTCCTCTCTTTTGGGCCTTCTGGTGCTGATGTTGAGCGCATTGAATTACCAGGGACCTTCTGGTAGTGATATCAACCACCTTGAATTGCAGCAATTGTCCGAAAAGCTTGGGGAATAATTGCTACTGCGTATCGTCTCGATCCCTGGGATCAGATTCGGCACTGCGCTAACATTTTCAGTGGCAGCCTTTTTCATGAGAAGTGGCACCTTTTTTTAGCCAATTAATCAGTGTGAAACCATCTCGAACCAGCACTGAACATACAGCGGCCCGCTCCAGCCCGTGCTCGCTATGCCCGGAGTCCATGTCCCACCTGCCTTTGCCGCCGAGGTCCGGTCGATGTGGAGGAGTGCTGGCGGGCGGGGCCGTCCCCGCCCCCGCTCCCGCCCCCGCCCCGTCCTTCCGACGACGAGCGACAAGACGACGACGGCCGCCGCCGACCAACCAACCGACGACCGAGCGGCAGTCGGCGCCGCGCGGCCGCGCAAAAATCGGCCGCCACGGCACCGCGCGAAAAATCGCCCGACAGTCGGCGACGGGCGGCGGAAAAATTGGCGCGCGCTCCTCACTCGATCTTGTTGTAACCTTGGACCGGTCCGGCTGGCGACATGTGCACGTACGCGTACCCGTCGCAGCTGGAGATGATGCAGCACCAGTTCGGCTCGACCTTTCCGCAGGTGAGTTTCGGAGGGACTCACGGCGTCCCTCCGTCCCTCCGTCCCTCGGTGGGTCCAGGTGGAGAGGCGGTGTGACGTCTGGTCATCAGCGTTATGATGCGCCCGGCGGCAGCTGTCCGGCAGCAGCGGACTCCCTCATCTCCATACCAATGCCATCTGCCCGTCTGCACAGCAGAGTGGGTAGAGGAGGGAGGGGGACCGATAGAGAGCAGCGGGAGAGCGGCAGTGAGGCCAGTGAGGGCCGTCGCGGACGGCCGCGGGACGGAGCTGGCCGGCGCCGGGCCGGGCCGGGGTGGGGTTAGGTCATGACCGTGGGTCAGGTCGCTGTGGTGGGGTGGGTCGCGGAGTGGACTGGTGGTCGGCGGGGCAGCAGCTGGGGTGTCGATCTGTCCTCTGATAGGGCTGATGGCCGGCTGGACGGGCTCGTCACATCCAACAATGACAGGTATGTGCAACAACTGTGCAACGGAACAATCGGCGGGCTACCAGCCATGGAGGCCGACCTCGCTATGTGATAATTAATGTCACACAAAGAGGAGAATCTACATAAAATTTGAAAACACAGGATGCGTGTTTTGAACTGTGATTTATTATATGTTCCTTGCTGCTATCTCTGTTTCCATGATAAACATACCTTAACTTGTAACCACCTAACGAGGAGAGCTAAACGTTTTCATTAGGAAACAACTTTTGCTTGTCAGGATCATACTTTATAGGTATTGGTGACAAGGGTTTGGTGAAAGGAACAGCTGCTTTTTAATTCTCGATGACCTTGAAAAGTGGGATAAGTAAGGGGAACTGCTCATTAGTTTCAACGGCTTCTAAGTAAAGTCCTTTATTACTTCAATGTTTCCAATTTGCTATCCTAAGAAACGCCTTTGGAACATACAATTCATGCTGCGTTTGGCAAAAGAAGTGATTTGTTTGTCCGTCTCCGTTATTTGGGATTATATGGTAAGCTACTTGAGCAGGCCGTTTTGGCATTTGTTGCCACAATTTGAGGTAGAACAACATCTTTTGCCAAAGATATACAATGACAACGGCAGGCGATCCAAAAATGCAAAGACTGCAAACTCTAGTTACTTACTCATTCAAAAGTGAAACACATTTTTCTGCTGGCTGGCATGAACTATCCGAATGAACTCTCAGAGACATATGTTGTGGACATCTATGAAAATGTCTGTTGCTTCAATGAGAGGTGAAATAAAACGAATAAGCGAAAAGAATGACAGGCTTACAACGCTGACACTATCATACTAATATCTACCTGCCTAATATCACCTGCCTGATGCATTTCAAAATTTGTCGGTACTTTCTTAGGGACCCAGCACATCTCGTTGAGATCCAAATTACTCGTATAATGGTGGGAACGATCCTAATTTGTCCTTGCCCTACCCACCGAGGCCTGTTTGTATGCAGGTTTCCAGTTGGGAGCACACTTACATGGTGGGCCGCATAATTTATTTCAGCCAGATTGACTCTGAAGAAAGTCAGAACTAAAATAAGGGAGATGTGAGGGATTAGGGAAGGAAGGGAAAAGCGAGAATATATATTATAGGGAAGCATATTTTATCACGTTTTAGTACTGAGCTTTGCTCACATTTAATAGAAATCTTATTATGTCACCGACATGCAGCGTCACTGGTTTCCTCTCAAACCAATTCGTTTGTGTTTGTTTTTGTAGATATTTCGGCCGAGAATGGAGCGTTTTGGAGTGTGTTCACTTCTTACTTTGTGTACGAGCACATTCCAAAACGCTCCAACTCCTGCTCCAGATGACACGGAGCTGATCATGAGTGGTGTGATTGATTCCATTCTATACCTACTGAACACACCGGTGTGGTTTTTCAATATACATATAAATTTCAATACATTTCGTATACATTTTTCATATACATATACGCTTTGTAACAGTAGACACGGAATGGGGCGATATTCCTGTTCATACACTGAAAACAAGTTGAAAGAACGTTGTGCAAAAGCATCTTAAAATATTCCACACTTAGGTTTTTTGGGTATTAGGGTAAACTGGCTTAGAGGCGAAGCAGAACGTCTGGTTCATGAAGAACACACACAGTGTTTCACATAGACCGAAGACACGTGCTGCTTCTTCGCGTGCAGTCTTAACGGCCCCAGGGGGCTTCAACTCGACCAACACCGGTTCTTCTTCGTTCTCCCTAGTCACGTGATATTACGTCACACCAAGCGCGCGAAAGATAAACCCTTTGAAGGTTTTGTACGAACTAGCATCGGGTTTAAGAAGAAGGGGTTGTGGTTTAATCAGTGTAATGGCTTTCATCAAGACCACGCCCGCGGTACCACGTTCTAGCGTCCACCGGAAGCGATCGCCATTTTTCGATCGCGTTGGATCACGCTTTGTGCAGTGACGAGCGGCTGGTGCAAGACTGCAGGTGAATGGCAAGTAATGGAATATTGAAGAACTGAAATAAGGTCAATTTTTGGCTTGTCAAGTGTTGTGTATTATTTATATTACTTGTGATTGACAATAATAAGCAATATCACAGCGCTCTTCAAATGCATGGATGAATGCATTGGATGAAGACAATTCAAATGCAAGATCAATCAATGCAGTAAGTATCTATATGTTGTACCTATAAATGGCCCATAGCTTAAATTATGCATGTGGTATTTAGACAAATCTTCCAAATGAAGATAAATCAGGAATAGAATCAGCTTACCATTTTGGAATCAACTGATTTAGGTATAAATTTGGCTAATTTTCATAAACATATGTTCTTGCTGTTTAGTGCAATATTTTATCTAGCTGCACTTTATATGTCAAGTGCATTATTTTATTTTTTGGAGTAGGCTCATGGTCTCTGAAGTCAATCTAAGTTTCTTTACTCCCTGCCTGTTGAATAACGCATCCGCCCGACTCTTCATTCTAGGGGACGAGGCCACCTCCGCTCTGATTGAGGCCCTGGAGTCTGAGGAGAGCGTCCTGGCGCGCGGAGACGTCGACATCGTCGAAAACGCTGGCCTGAAGCTGGTGGTGGAAGGAGAAACTGTATGTGATTTGGGAGAATGCGATATCGCCACCCGGCTGCTGACATGGGCGATAGCGCATACATACTGTGTTTGGGAAAACATCCACTTGCTAAAGCTAAAAATGTGTTCATATTGTACAGAAAGCAACCCTGAGCGTGAAGGAATCAACCTAAAATAATTAAACATGCCCGAAAGGCTTTGGAGTTCTTTGGCTGGGATGTGTAAGGCAAGTGACACGGCCGAGGGGAAAGCGTTCCTGCAGGCTGATTGCGGGCTGATCGCATGGGCTGGTTGCGGGCTGGTTGTTCCTGACTGGAGACTTGCAGGCTGATTGCTCAGAGTAAAGAGGAAGGTAATACATTTTAAGGTGTATCAAGTACTGTGTTTGCGTAGCAGATGTGACGGCGCAGGTCGATAGCCATGCATGGGAGGTTCAATAAACGAATGAACGGGGATTTTGCGGTATTGCAATAGAACTGAAAGGGTTCTACAACCGATATTCAGAACACGGGGTGGTTTCGCTATAAACCTCAGGGACTTCTTCACAGACCCTTTGGGGTTCTTATCTAGGTGCTAAGAACGCTCTTATTATAAACCCTAAATCCTATAAGAGTCTTTGGAAGAATCGTGTGGATTCTTTTGATGAGAATGCAAAGCCGTCTACGTGAAGAACCATGGGGGTTCTGAAAAACGGTGGCATAACATTTTACCCCACAGGGGTCTAAATACCCCTGTACGTTCTTAACGTTCTTCCAAAGTGTTTTTGAATGCTAGCAAAAACAAATTTCTGAAGCCCCCTTTACATACACGTATAATGTATATCCTTTAGAGCTATAACTGAATTATGCCTTATCCAAAGCTGACTATTCGAAGCAGCCCAGCCTCTGCGGTTCGGTGAGCCTTGTGAAGCCATTCTCCGCCCGCTTCTGACCGGTGCTAAGGGGCCGGGGAGCCCAGTGAAGTGCTGTGGGCGGGCCGAAACAAAGCGAGCCGGATCCGCGACACTGGCTCAGCCACTGCCGCTGCTCTCTCACGCGAATGTGCCCAAATGGCACTTTGAAGTTGTTCTGTGGATTTGTGTGAATGGAAATGCTCAATAATTTGTGTTGCTATTTATTTATTTTTGTCAAAAGATATTGAGTGCAAGTTTCTCAACTTGCTTGCAGAGCCAAGCGTGAATTGTAGTACCTAACATATTTCGTTGTGATTTGAGAACAAACTCAAATCAGATGCTTGCATGCCTACGACGGAAAACTTTAGAAGGATGGAATGGAAAAATGTTCCCCATGGTGTGAGCTGATTACTGAAGTCCTTGCAAAGTAAATTGATCCAGCCCGCCCAGCTCCAGTCCATCCCCAGTCCCAGCCCCCTTCCTACCCCGTCGTGCCCGCCGCGGCCGCCGGCGCTGGGCCATTGTCCCTGGCGGACCCACCGGCGGTCGTCACGCTCCTGTTTCACGGTTCGCGGCGGCGGCGGCGGCGGCGGCGGCGGCGGCCGGGGGCGTGTCGTGCGCCCAGGCGCCGCCCCCGCCCCCGCCCCGGCCCGGCCCGGACAGCGCGGCCTCGGCGGTGGAGCCGCAGCCCGCCGCGCTGCCCGCGCCCGCGGCCGCGCGCCGGCGGCACCCGCTGCGGGCTGCGACACCGCGGACGACGCGACATCGGTGGATCAATATAAACAGAGGTGGCTCCTCAACTTCGTTTTATGTAAATGTGAAGACGAGGTCTTACATTATCCTTGGTAGCTCAGTTCCCATTTCAATACTAGCTCAGTTCATTGCTCGGTTTTATGTTATCCCTTTTTCAGGTTTGTCAGGGCTTGTGCAAGGATCATATTTTGAATAATTAAGATTTTATGACCTTATAATCATAGCTGTTGGAAAAAAGGTTAAAGCAAAAAAAATCAATAATTATTTCGAGGAAAAACATGTTAAATGCCTATTTCAAGGACAACTCTTCATCAGAATGCAGAGTAAAAAAAAAAAAAGATTGGCATTTGTATTTCAATGAAGAATTGTGCTCTATTGCTAAATATTTTTGCCTTAACTGTTCGTAAGGCTGTGAGGAAAGGAGGACAAAAAACTGAACTACTTTATGTCACATTTCTTCAAGACGTGGTTTCGCAATGCGCATGCCTAGTTAGGGTCGTGACTCGTGGACGCCACCCGCCATTTGCTGATCCATAATCCATTGATAGGTATTTTGGATGCGGTACAGTGTATTTATGTCATATCGCTTTGCTGATAATACCGTTGATTGTCTTTATTTCCTATTTTTTAAAATGTTTTTATCATTCTTGTAATCTTTTTCTCGAGTTCACAAAAAATGTTAATGATATCACCGACCGCGGGCTCACGGTTGCTACGAAAGGCGTTGCTTAACTGTTGCAACTTTCCAAAAAAATCCTCTCGGCTTTTCTGTGTAAACGACTGTGAACACC